AACCCAATAACCATTTTAACCCCATCCCATAAACCACTTAAACCCATAACCTTGTAACCCATTTAACCCCATCAACATCAATTCCAACAGTTCCGTATCTCAGACATTTAGCTTTGAAGAGACTAAAGTTATGCGGTTATTAAAATAACGTACATATTAAGTTAAATATCTGACAAACGTGGTTGATGTGATGAGGTTAAATGGGTTATGGGGTTATGGAGTTATGTGAGTTATGAAGTTGTGATATTTAAGAGCTTCGATTTTTATATGAAAACCACATTCTCAGGGTTATATATAGTAATAGATTATATGATGGGTTTTTTAAGGTTATGGCAAAATCCTGATGTGATGGGGTTAAATAGACCTCGGATTCGGATTCAGCGACCCCAAAAATATATAGAAAATATGGTCAGGCTCCCAGATCAAAACACAAAATTTTTTTTGTGTTTTTATCTGGGGGTCTGACCATATTTCTTTTATGTTTTTGGGGTCGCTGAATCCGAATCCAAGGTCTATTTAATCCCATCACATCAGGATTTTGACATAACCTCAAAAAATCTATAATTTAAGCTATTAAACGCATATAACCCTAAATATTAAGTTGTTGTCTAAAAACCCAAGCTCCTAAACACTATAAGCCTAAAACTCACTTAACCCCATAACCCCATGACCCACTTAACCCCATCATCTATTTAAACATATAATCCTTGGGATGAAATTGTGATCTGAAAACCCAAGCTATTAAACCCAATAACCATTTTTACCCCATCCCATAAACCACTTAATCCCATAACCTTGTAACCCATTTAACCCCATCAACATAAATTCCAACAGTTACGTATGTCAGACATTTAGCTTTGAAGAGACTAAAGTTATGCGGTTATTAAAATAACGTACATATTAAGTTAAATATCTGACAAACGTGGTTGATGTACATTGAGTTATGAGGTTAAATGGGTTATGGGGTTATGGAGTTATGTGAGTTATAAAGTTGTGATATTTAAGAGCTTGGATTTTTATATTAAAACCACATTCTCAGGGTTATATATAGTAATAGCTTATATGATGGGTTTTTTAAGGTTATGGCAAAATCCTGATGTGATGGGGTTAAATAGACCTCGGATTCGGATTCAGCGACCCCAAAAATATATAGAAAATATGGTCAGGCCCCCAGATCAGAACACAATTTTTTTTTTGTGTGGCTGTGTAATTTATGAAAAAATATGATCTTCATCGAATTTTAAATTAAAAACAAAATCTTTATCTTAAACACATTTTCGTAAATAACATTTTGTGGAGATCCAAATCAAAACGGAATTATAGTGATCCGTTTTAGATGTGTTTACTAAATTGTTAGATAAACAATAGTCTTGGTAATAAATGCTAAATATTCAAATAAAAGTAGAAAAACTTCAACCCAAACATTTAATAGTATATTGTAGACCTAGACTGAAAGAAGGACTCTTCTTGAAGTCTGGAAAAATCACTTTACTGTCTCAATAATTTTTACAATTGTTCATGCAAATGCTTTGCTTTATTTGTTTATTTATTGAATATTACACTAAATCACAGTTTAACAAAACAGTTTTACAACTGCTAACGTTCATACCATTTAAATATCGTTATTTTTGTATTTTAAACCATTTCCCCGTCAATATTATTAAACATTCTTCTAATGCATTGTATTACCCTTATTAATGCCTTTTCAGTAAAAATTTACACATATACATTTATATAACAAGTACCTTTAACATGTATCCATTTTAAAAAACTTTACTTGCAAATAACATAAATTTATATTTTGAGGGAAATATGCCCTATCATCTTACCTTATGCGCATAGTCAGTTTATAAGTGGGGGATTTAAAATATATAATAACATAGACATAATATTACGTCCACGTATGATACGAATTGTCAACTAAATAAAATTTAGGTTATATCAAATTTTTCTTTATTATTTGCTTACATCGCCTAGATTAAGCTTACATAAATTTTTGTAGTTTGCCTTTAGAAAAAGTAAAAAGTGGCATACTATGCATATTATGTAAAAGCCACTAAAAATCTCGTAAATACAATGGAAAAAACAATGCAAAAACAGTTGGTATCCAACAGAAAACAAACAAAATGGTTTATTATAAAAACATATTACAAATTAATATGTCTATGATAAAAACCTTTTGGCTATCGTAGTCGAAATACGCTCTTTAAACATGCTGTTATAAACATGCCAAAAAGTCTAAAATATCATCATTTTGTGTGTTTATTATTGCTAAATGCTTTGTTTTATACAATTTATATACAAATTATTAAAAAGTATTTATTATACTTCACAAATAGGGAATGGTATTTTTTCAATGCAATCAATTTCATCAATCATTTTCACTTCCTCTAATTTAACCCCAACCCAACCCAAAAGGAAACAGTCTCAATTATGAATGGATTGTAATTCGACATTATTCTAACAATTTTGGCAAATGAAAAAAATATCTCATCTCATAACACGTTTTCTCGCACTCGTCAATTGGAAAACACGCAGCTTGTTTAGTAAACTAATAGTGTCATAAATATTGCGTTTGGCTTTACATATAAAAGCATCTTTTAGTTTAGATTTAGTGGTGGCCATAAATTTGGGTAGTCGATAATAAAATATACGTATTTGTATTTTTTTCGACATTTGGGGTGTATTGAAAAAAAACTTAATTAAAATATCGAAATAAAATAAACAATGATATATTTTTAAAACAACTTTATTTCTATATAAAAAATACTCAAATAAATATTATCATTATAAATTAACCCGTATCTACGCTAAAATTGATATTTGGCCTTACAATTTAAAACATGATTTTTAAGCCCACCTCTACGCGCAATTCTGCGTCCACAAAATTCGCAAGCGAATTGCGGCAACTTGTTGCATTCGTATTTTTTATGTTTGTACAGCGAGGTTACATGTTTGTACTTCTTTGGACAAGTCGGGCAAAAAAAGTAACCATCTTCTTTTTTAAACACTAAAAATTATGTCATTTAATATTGTTATAACAAATTTTAACAATAAATTTAACATATTGAAAAATTTCTTTCAGTTCGAACGATTTTGGACAAAAAGACAGATTTTGGATATTAGCAAAAAAGTAATTAATTAGCCGAATTACGTGCTAAATAATATTATTATTAAATAAAAAAATTAAAATTTAACTTATTTTTTTTAAATTCAAATGTTGAAATGGTCATTTTAGCAATGCGTTTAGTATTACTTCAAAAGATCCATAATATAATTAATAACTTTAACAGCTCTAGAGTACTTCTCCAATAATGTTCTTTTTGCGTTGGAGGGAGGCGAGGCCACGCCCAAAACGTTTTCCTACATTCGGTTTTACTCTGAACGGGCTGTATATTAAAAAAAGATATGGGAACAAAAAATAAAGCAACAGAAAACATGCAGTATGTTAAATGTAGCGAAAGCGAAAATAGCAGAAAATAGCAGAAAACAAATATAAGAAAATCATTGAATCATTAAATTATGATTAATCATTGAATTATAATTATAATTAACTTATAATAATTAACTTTATATAATTGTGTATTTTTTATAATTTACTTTAAAAACGAAATTAAGGTAGTCATCAAATAAATCAAACCAAATATATCAAAATAATCAAGTGTTCGTAATCCAGTGTTGCCGGATCTTTTAGACGAGAATGACAGATTGATAATTTTGGTTGGACACAGTCAACATTATCGTTTATTATTGCAAAACTGTACAGTAAAAGTTAACAAAAATTCATATGGCACATTACAAGATATGCATTAATTAAAGACATATTAATTAAAGACATATATCATATGTTATATGCCCATATGGGCTTTATAGGGGATGCATTTAATTAACGCATATCTTATAATATGATAATAAGAAAGCGATCTCTCTTAAAATGAATTATATAATTGTCATAGCGAAAAAGCAGCCACTAATAATTCTCGTCAACAGCAATATCCATAACAAACATTTAGCAGTCAATTCATATGTAAAATTGTCCGCTGAATCCGAAAATATCGTCAAAAACTATAAAAGTAGAACAGTTTTTGAGATAAAGACAATTTTCCATATAATATGGAATTGACTATGTCTTAAAAACTTCTCTACTTTTAAAATTTTTGACGGTTTTTTTAGATTAAAGGGAAAATTTTACATGGGAATTTACTGTGTGTTCGGGATACAAATTGCTGTGGACTACAGTTATTAGTGGCTGCTTTTTCTCTGACATCTAGTTATTTTTATTAATTTATTTTAAAAGAGTACCCATAATACGGACCCTTATAGTAAACCCACCTTTAAAGGGCTGTCAGTCCTAATTTTTAAAGGCCGTATCTTGAACCGTAAAGTGTAGGTAACCGGTTGAAATTTTCTCAGAATAAACATATGTTATTATAACAAATAATAAAAAACAAAAAGTGGAAATAACGTGGGGTTTCCATATACGTGTTGCAAATTTTTTTGTTTTTGCTTTATCGTAAAAACGTTAGTACATACAAGCGTCAAATAACAAGTATATTGTTTGGTGGTACCACTGCTTTTAGAGCTTCTCTAAAAACTGCGACTCACTTGGCCGCTTTATTTACTTCAAAACAGCTAAAAAATGTCAATTTTGCTAAATGGCATAAGCAAATAGAATAAATTAAAAATAATACTTAATAAAACTTGGATTTATGTAAAATATTTATTTTAATGAATACAAAACTTGGAAAAGACTAATCTAACTTAACTTTGGCACTTATTTAATGTAATGATTATCCTAAAATTATAGAAAAAATAATAAATAATTATAAAATACGAATGAATACTTAAATGAGATTAAAAACCAAAAACAAACCTTAAATTTACGACCTATATAATATTAATATTTCAAAAGGCACATTGATTCAAATTTAACAATGTTATAAAAAATACTCTTTAATCCTACAAATGTTCTCAAAGACGTCCCATAAAAATGGAATGACCTGCATTGAACTGAACATTGCGGCACCGTTTTTTATGACTCAGGGAGTCTTTATACTTAACAGTCATATTACAAGGGCCACATTTAAAAACCCTGTCGGCATTACAATTTTTCTCGTGATTTTCCATAAGGTACTTTCTTTTGAACATGCGGTTGCATTTTGGGCATTTGAACGCCACGTGTTTTAAGTGTAGTTCCAGGTAGTGCCTTTGTACGTGGTCTTTTCTTTTAAACACCTTAAAGCATTGGGGACAAGTGTTATCTTCGAAAGCGATTCTTTTTAGCAAAAAACTGACATCTGAAAAATATATTATTAGTATGTTTTATTTATAGTGTTTTCTAATATGTCCACGTATTACGTAGTACGTAATATTTACCATGCTCCAAAATCTAATCTAACTCCTATGGAGTTACTAATGTCTGTAGACGATAAGTTTTACAGAAAATTATATTCTTAAAAACAATAATTAACAGAACAGTATAATAATTTTCTATAAAACTTACCTATAAAACTAAAATAAAAATGGGTAACTATTAGATAAATTCACTGGGAAAATAAAAATAAAATTCTGGTAAACAAAATAAAATAAATATGATATTGTATTGTCACCATGCATACAACTTGGCCTTGTAATGTAAACTGGTAAAAGTAGGTATAGGTAGTAACGGATTTCCCCTTTTAAGCTTTTGAAGCGAACTTACAGTTAGGAATTAGAAAGTCACGCTAGTAAAGAATATATACCTGGGCCATTCCATAACAAATGCACTCGATAATAACAAACTTTTATACGTTAAAATAGGCTGTATATCAAAGTTTGTAATTACTGTAAAACCGTAAAAATCGTATTTTTACTTTAATATTAAGTATATAATAGGTATACCTATAGGTATACAGTATACTGTATATTTTATCCATATATAAATAATACACTGCGGTCAAAATTAACGCATAGTAAGTAAAAAAATTCTAATTCTAAAACGCCTAATCTTTATGAAATTTTTTATAAAAATACTTCAACTTAAATCTCAGTTTACGGGTTTTTAGAGAAAATATTTAATAAAAAAAAAGTTTAAAAAATAACTTTTAGGAAATTTTTTTTAAGTAAATAAAAAATATGCTGTTAAAGACCGTATTTTTGTTACTATACCCTAAAAATTTTGTACAAATCAAACGAACAGTAACGAAGATACAGTGCTTCAAAGTCGGTAAAAATTACCCCTTTTTGATTATTTTGCTGAAAAGTGGTCATTTTTTAAGACTTTAAAGGGCTGTATTTTCGTTAATGTTTGTTTGATTTGTGCAACATTTTCAGGGTATACTTACAAAAACACGGTATTTCACAGTATATTTTTTATTTACTTAAAAAAAATTCCCTATAAAAGTTTTTTTTTCGAGCGTTTTTTTATTATTAAATAAGGGTATTTTCTCGAAAAAAACATGAACACGTAAACTGAGATATAAGTATTTTTATCCAAAATTTTATAAAGATTGGTAAAGGCGTTTTTTAGAGTACGAATTTTTTTACTTATTATGCGTTTCCAAGACTTTTTTAAATACACATTGACTAGATGTGACTTTATGGCATTTTAGTCACGAGATGAAGTTAGCAACAGTTGATTTCATGTTGATCATGGGCTAAAGCTTTAAGTTAGTTGACAGTTGTTGAAAATCAAACAATCGTGAAAATAAAGCAACTATGATCTTTAGAAAGTGAGGTTATAGCCGTCTGACAGATATTGTATTTTAATTTTTTATTTCGGAAATTTATAGGTATAATTGAAGTAGAAAAAGTATAGTTATAAACTTCTCGTTTAATTAACACTCACTCGCAAACTTTGCTCGTGTCTAATTAAAACTCGTGACTAAAATGCCGTTTAGCAAATTTACATAATATACTATTTTCTTTTTTTGGAATTATGCATTAGGGAAGTTTTCATTTCAAAACTTTACGAAAAAAAGACAAATTTTAAATAAAAAATAAAAAAATATAAATAGTTGTTAAAAAAGCCAATAATAACAATATTAATCTATATAAATGGACACAATTTTCTATGAAAGTTTAATAATGCCAAAGATATGATTTGGTTTGGATGTTCTGACCGTCATCAATTATTTTTTTATTGATATTGATAAAGATAAATGGTTTATCATAAAAAACAAATTTTTAAACTTAAGTGCCCTATAACCATATATAATAAATGATTATATAAAATATATATTAAAAAAATCATATAACAAACCAACTCTTTATTAAGATTACCTGAATCTTATAACAAAAAATAAATATATTAGTATTTTTTAACTTAAAGCATATTGTTAGTAAGTAACTTACAATACAAAATTAGTAAAAGTAGTTGTATTCAAGAACAGTAAAAAATAAAAACAACATGTTTAGTAGGTATCATCAAAATAAATAAATACATTTGTGGGTTAACCTTAAGGCACAGTGGTTAATTAAATTAATTGATAATAAAGTATTTGCAAAAATAGTGCTTTGATTTATTTATTTATTTATTAAACTGACTATTAATATATTAATCTTTGTAAAAGTTCTAGAAAATGGTATATTGTCCTTTAAATAAATAAACCAATTAATATCTGCCCAATAAATCTATATAATAAAACATAACAAAACATAAATTCTTAAAAAAATACCAAAATAAATGTTCCTATAAAAAACAATCATAATAAAACTTAAACTTTCATTATTTTAATTAATATTAACAACAAACACTTAAATTAAATTAACTAATGTAAATATTTGTATTAATTATCCTTTTTAATATAAAAAATATATATTTTTATTGCGTATTATTATTGGAAAGGTTGTTATAAATATAAAATAACCCTTCGTCACCATGCATTTTAATAATATGGGTTTTAAGGTTGCCTTTTTGATAAAATGGGTGATTACAAAATTTGCAAATAAATTGTGGCTCTTTATTGCACTCGTACTTTTCGTGGTTACGAAGGCCTTTCAAATGACGGTAGGATTTGCAACAAGTGCTGCAAGTGTGACCTTTGGAAATATCTTCTACTTCAGGTTCTAAAAAAGCAAACAATAGTACATTTATTTCCATCTAAACATTTTACTTACCATTTTTGATTTTCTCGTGTTTTAATTTGACATGGAAATTTAAATTAAATAGTTTCATAAAAGTAAGGCCACAATAATGACATGGGTACAGTCTTGGTTTGTTGCATTTCTGGCTGATATGTTGCTGAAATGATTTTTTCTGTTTGTAAGTTTTATTGCATTTTCGGCAAACAAAAATGTCTCCATCTGGATGTGGCACTACCACGAAATCTAAAAATGCCTTTATTTACCATAAATATATTAAAACTGTTTTCATTGTTAAACCAACAAATAGCTTTGTTAATATTGGAATACTTTGTACAAAATGTGAAAAAAACACAAATATATTTAAGGGTTTAATGACATTTGGTTTTACATTTATAAACATGACACGTAAGACTATCTTTACGAGTAAATCTTTTGCCACAATATTCGCAGAAAAATTGGGGAATTATGTTGCATTCATATTTTTTATGTTTGTAGAGCGAAGTTATGTGTTTATACTTCTTTGGACAAGTAGGGCACATAAAGTAGCCATCTTCTTTTTTAAACACTAAAAAATATATATTTTAATATTTAGATTCAACGTAAACTTAACTCAAAAAAATAAATTTACTTAATCCATATTCTCTCTATAATATATTACACTAGGTACCTATACTACACAAAAAATATTATTATTTATTAATATACACATATTTTTCATGATAGTCCTGAAAACATTTTCCAATACACAACCCTGGCACGTCAAAACATTTGGTACAATGATATGAAGTGTCTTTTCTTAATTTATTTTTCCAACAAATTTTGCATCGTTTTCTCATCGTTTTTCCTTTATTATTTTTTGTTTCTATTTTCTCAGGATAGTGGTGTTGCTCTAAAAAGGATTCAATAAACTACAAATTTGTTTTTCAACTTTTTGCTAAGCGAGATTAGCAATTGAAACTTATATAAAAAATTACTAAATATATTGCTAATGTCATAAGACGTCATTTTATCGCACGCGGACAATTTATAAAACGAGCGACGAAGGAGCGAGTTTTATAATGGACAAGTGCGACAAAAGGTCTTATGACATGAGTTCTTTATGCTATTTTATCTATTTTGCAAACATTTCATAAAACAAATTAATTTTATACATTATATTTAATTTGGTCGAATTTTACTTTACATAGTTGGTATCTCAGTTTGAAGTTCGAAAGGTCATTAACCTTTCAAACATTATCACATTCTTTCGCTATGGCGTCGTTAATTTACAATAAGTATTTACAATAAGCGGCTGTTAAAGAAGAAAAAAGGATTTTCTTTGGTGTTAAACAAAATTTATTGCACGAAAAGTCTCGTAAGTACTAGAAAACAAATCATAAAAATATTATAACCTATAGGTATTCAAAATTGTATTTTACCAGTAGCCAACCTATAAAATCAAAATTTTGGGTGGAATAAAGTACCTCATTAAAGAACCAAAAGCGGTGTTATAATGAAGTCATTATGAAACCAAAATAGATAAATAGTATATAATGCGACTAGTGGGAGAAAGAGGAGGTTCATCGAGCAAGAACAATATTTTTTCTACTCCTATTGCATATTATTGACATTATTTAAGTTTTTCCATAATAATAATAATGGTAACCGTTTATAACTAAAGTCCCAATAATAAGTCTGGTCAACTGTAGCACAAATCCTATTGGTCCTATGGCGCGAAAAGTCATCATTTGAATAAAAATCAAAGTTTTAAACACAAACACCTAGTGAATATTTTTTGTTGTTTTTACTATTATTTTGTTACCTATTAAACATTTGTTGACAATTTATTACTCTAATTATAGCAGCCCCGCCTAACAACCAGAGCTGGCCAAGTACATGAGTACTTTTACTCCTATTTCAATTACAAGTAAAACAATACGAGTACTTTTTTACTTATAACCCAAATTAACTTTACTTAGCAAAAAATACTCGTGGAATTCACGAGTATTTTTATTAGTTTTTCTGTTTATTACAATATTTAGTATTAAGGTGCATTTGTATGTGGCTAAATTTTGAGACATAATGTATACTAAAAAATATATTTAAAAACATTTAAATATACAAAAATTTTTTGTTTTAAGGTTCGCCGTGGAAGTTTAAACAAATATCGTCGCCGTAGAAGTCAACCCAAAAAATTTTAACAAAAAATAATAGTTGTACAAACATAACCTTAAAATCAAACATTTTTATATTTGATTCCACTAAAAAAACGCCGAAAACTGCATTTTAAAATAATAAATGATAAAATATATAAATATATATATATATATATAAATATATGTATACAATTTTAACGTAAAATGTGTATTTATTGAATCTAATAGGTACAATTTATATTTACAAGGACTAAAGGCAATTTATTTCTTCATTCGGATTTCCAATGTTAATTTGGAAAGCGGTAAAAACTCAACCCAGGATTTCCGCTCGAAAAACACCCAACAACACAATAAATCGTTTCACGTTTTTTTCTCTCGATATTTTTAACATTATCCGGCCTTATTCTCTAAAACACTCGTTTGTAACATACGAGTTCGACAGCGGAATATTAAAAGTTGTAGTTTTGTTACGATGGTAACGGCCACGTGGTGGCGTATATAAAAAAGGAATTCTATGTTACATCGAAAAAACAATATCGCTTTTTTGACTATAACTTTTGATCTTTTAACTGTTCTATAAGTTGGTAGGTTTTAAAAAATAATGTGTTAACAAAATACCCATCGAAGCCTTACAAATAAAAACTTTACTAAATTAAAAACACAATTTGGTTATGTCTTTATTAAGATAAAATAAACGATATTTATTTGAGTCATATTATATTAGTATATTATACTTATATTATACTTATCACTACATAGATTCCTGACATGACAGTACATAACCCTAATATTACTTAAATATTAAACATGACTAGTTCAATGATTAATTAATAATAAATTAATATACACGTACATACTAAGCAATTACATTCAATAAAGTTTCTTTAATAATTTTATGCATTTCATTTAAAAAATCTACTTTATATATTTATACAGGGTGTTCCTAAATTTAGTAATTTTAAGACGAGTTCATTTGATGTCCTAAAACGCTTCCTTTTCGGGACCTGGTGGTTTAAGTATTTTTATATTAGCTATTGGGAATCGGGAACATAATGGGACAATACTGATGCAATACTGAAGTTAAAACAAACACGTAGTATCCCGAAAAGAATGTAGGTACTCGTATGTATACAATTTTTCTCTTCAAATTAGGGGGTTATTTAGAAGCACCTTGTTTATATACTTTGTATTTCAGTTGCATTTTTTATACCGTGTTTTCATTTTTTGGTGTAAACATCTGACGCATTATAGCAGCATTTAGTTTTTAAGAGGGGGGATAATTCGACTCGGTGACGATCTTGTCTCAGGGGTGATAAAACGATACTTAAAATATAACATATACAGTTTAACAGTAAATTATTACCTTGGTAATATGTTTAACATTTAACTGAAAGGTTTCTTATAAAAACCTTAAAACATAAAACAATTCTCTTGAAATTAAACTAAAAAATATTTTAATTTATAAAGTTTTGCATTTCTAGTTTTACTAGAACCTTTTAGATAAATGCAATTTTAAACATTAGACTAAATAAATAATTTACTGTTAAGTAACTAGGTTACATTTGTGTTAAAACGCAAATGATGCTTGAAGCCGCTGCAAAATATCCCCTCTTTCAATGCGTTCAGATGCACTGTTTACTTTAGCGTGAAAATACGGTATAGCCTAATAAATAAACACAAACTGCTGTGGTCTAAGAAAGCCTAAGAATTATATTACAGAAAACCACTGAAACTTATTTATACTTTAGGATTAATCTATGGATAATACTTAAATTTGTAAATTTTTCTATGTAAGATCGGCAGTTTTAAGTATGTAAATAATAGTAAAAAAATAAATAAATAAATCGCATTAATATAAAACCTGTTTTATTAAGTTTTTAATAATATTATTAAATATTTCCGTTATTTTAGCACTATTGCAGATTTAATTGCACTAAACTTGCATGATCAGAGTTATGCACTGCTTTAAAATGCGACTTTAGACTGCTTTTTTGGGTGAAGTCTTTAGCACACAGTATACATTTAAATTGGCGTGGTTTTCCACATTCGTATTTCATATGTCGCCCCACACTACTTCTGTAATTGTAAATCTTGAAGCACTTGGGACAAGCAAATTTGCCTTTGACTGAACCATCTAAAATAAAACCAAATTTAGTTAATTTATTTCTATTTTCATACAGTTGAACATCAAGTCTACAAAAATACTTACGTGTATTTAAAAATAGTAATACGCTCATGCAAATAATATAAACAATAGAAACAAGTTGTATTATATTGTAGTTATAATAATTTTACATTCAAAAAAAATTATGATTTTAGGCCATCTAATGAAATTCCGTGATGCAAAACTAAGTGTGTTTTTAAGTTGCTTTTTTGGGTGTAAGCTTTGGAACAAAGTTTACAATTAAACTGGGGCCTTTTTCCACACTCGTAATTCATATGACGGTTTAGGTTGTGTAGATATTTGTACGATTTAAAACATTGGGGGCATTGATGACTTGTGATTCCTAAAATTAAATTTCATTAGACCACATAAATATATTTTTAAAGATTAATTTAAAAAAATATACTGGAGGCGCCGGGTATCGATCCCGGTACCTCTCGCATGCTAAGCGAGCGCTCTACCATCTGAGCTACGCCCCCTGATATACGTTAATAAGTATTGACCATTCAGTGTTCGTGTTTCGATACCTAACCTTGACATTAAAATTAAACTTGAAATACATAGTAAACTTGTTGCACCATACATACTAAAATCAGTTTAAACTTAATAATTTCAAAGCAAACCTAGAATACAAAAATAAATTAAAACAAAATATTATACAGGGTAGCACATTATACCGAGTGTATCACCCAAAACAAATTAGTCGATTTTTTTTATTATTCAAACTATTGACTTTATATATTTGTTTTTCCCCGTATTTTCCAGATTTGGCCACATGTCATTATTATATTA